CTAGCTCTTTTATTTTAATTATTATGTTTATTTTTGAGATAGTATCTTGTTAAGATACTATCTTGCTTCAAGCTTCCCAAATTGTTGAAATTACAGGCATGAATCACTACACTACCCAGTTCTTCAACCAACATTTTGTTAATGAAATTTCATTGTTGACCCAATGATCCTGAGTTTGGTGGTCTTGTGGGACTGAGCCCTTGCTCATTGGTATCTGATGCTATCTCTTGACAGATGGTGTCAGAATTGAATCAAATTAACATATATCCAACTAGTATCCACTGGAGAATTGTTTGCTTGGTTTCAGAAGCATTCTGTGCTATATTGAGTAGCTGTGAGAATAGGCAAAATCCTTTTGGTTGATTTCCCCCTGTATTCTCAGTGTGTGTGTGTGAGGGGTTGGGAGATAGAGAAAGATTAAAATACAATAGAAGAAATAATAAAATTAAATATTCAAGAGACTTCCAAAAAGAAAAATCTAATAATAGACAAAATGCTAAATAATATATATGAAATAATGTCTTAATATATCATCAGAGTGACCTTGACTATTGTGAAAATATTATCAAGGTGGTAGACATTAACCCAACCCAAGAAGAGCATTTCAACATCCTGCAAAAAATATTGAAATTGGCTAATAGAATATTAACTTTAATATAATTAATATATGTTAATACCAATTAATCAATTAAATAAATAAATGTAAAACACTGACTAAAGCTCTTTTATCCACCGCTTGCTATTATCCTTTGCCACTGTTCCTCCAAGCTGTCTTCTGTAGTTGTACTCTATTACCTGTACATCCTTTAGGTATAGTCCTCTGTCCTACTCCCATGCTTTTGCACATACTTTTAATTTTGCCTAATATATTCAATCCACTTTCCCCTGACTAAGATCTGTTAGTTTTTACTTTTTTTTTTTCATTTCCTCATTTTAGTCTCTGACTCTTACAGCCCGGTTTATACATCTCATAGTGCTCTGACCTCAGCTTTATGATGGACACTGTATATTCATCACGCACTCTCTGCCTTTCCACATAGACTCTATTCAAAACTAAAGCAATTTTCTGAATTATCTTCATATTCCCAGATTTCAGCAAATAAGAAACATATCAATTAGTTTAAAAGAATTATGGAAATGAGGAAGATGGGTGGAGGGAGGAAAGGAGAAAGTCTTGCGGTTCAGCAGACACAAAGGAATTTATCGTGTTCAGGAAACAGTACTTGTTTCCACCTGTTATTTTCCAGGGCTTCATATAGGTACCAGGAATACATTTTTGAACAACAGGGCAAGTTTACCCACCCTTGTGTAATTTACATTCTAAAAATAAGGGGAAGAGGGAAAACACAAGATACTACCTTTTCTGAGAACATTGGTTCAATCAGAATAATACTCCAAGTGAGAAGACAGGGTGGTTTCTTATATACACAATCTCTTCTTCTCAGATGACCATTTTTCTCTCCATACCATATCAGGTACTCTTGTATCCTCTGAATTTATCCTCAGACGTACATTTAGTGTTTTTCAAACAATGAACTCTTGTCTCTTAAAGTTTATTCCCTGCCCATCAAATGAAAAAGACCTGGCCTGACTATGCTAAGTAAATATAGATGTGTAGTCCTGGAAAAGTAACCTGAAAGCTAGTGTTTTGCATTTTAAACTTGTTTTTTTTTTTGACATTTGTATTAAGTTTTAATATTGATATAATTTTAAACTTTCAAAAAGTCAAATAGATCCCCTTATTGTTTATCCACTAACACATTAAATGGTAGATAAACTTTCATCAACTTTAAATTTATCATTTCTAGTTAACAATACAAAAATATATTTACCTCCCCTAATTTTCAAATTTTTCACTTATGCTAATGGACAATTCCTTGGAAGAGTAATTTGAAATTTATAAAAACAAGTTAATGTTTTTTTCTTTTTGCTGCCTAGTTCTGGTTTCATTGCTATTTTCCATAAGATGGTCATTAACTGCTCAGTTTCAACAGACTTTCAAGGTACACCATTTCATGTGTTTCTTTAAAAAAGAAAACAAAACAGAAATACACATATCACACACTGATGTTTACAAATACTCCCATTTCACAATGTGGTAATTTTCTTCTTAGACAATAAACAAGACACCACCATCTTGGCAGACGGGAAAATATATCAGTTCTTGCAAAACCATATCTTGAAGTGATGACATATTCCCTAGAGAAGCAGATAGATCAAAGGGCAGAGTAGGTCAGGGTGTCTCTCTGACTAAGGCCATATGGGACTACATAAAGTTTGCCCTGCTCTTGAGTATCTTGGGCAATGCTGACCTTATCTGTTTGGTTTTTAGGCTATAAACCAAGGGATTAAGGACAGGAGTCAGAAAGAGGAAGAGATTGGCCATGGTGACATGGAGAAGAGGAGATGTGAATGTACCAAACCTGTGAATTAGGGCCAACACAATGAGGGGCACATAAAAGATGAAGACAGTGAAGATATGAGAAACACAAGTATTAAGTGCCTTAAGTTGACCATTTCCTGAGGCAACACCCAGCACTGTTTTCAAAATCAAGATGTATGAAATGACAATGAATATAGAGTCAATTGCAAAGGAGCAGAGGACTAGAGACAGTCCATAGACGATGTTGACTCTCACAGAGCCACAGGCCAGCTTCATCACATCAGGATGGTAGCAATAACAATGGGAAAGAATGACACCTTTGCAAAAAGGCAATCGTTTGAGCAAGATTGGCAAAGGCACCATCAAGAGCACACCCCGAAACACAGCTATGAGCCCTATTCCTATAATTCTAGGAGGAGTTAAAACCACAGTGTAGTGCAGCGGATCACAGATAGCTACAAATCGATCAAAAGCCATGGCCAGCAGGATGGCTGATTCCATGGAGGAGAAGGTATGAATGAAGAACATCTGTGCCAGGCAAGAATGGAACTCAATCTCTCTGTGATTCAGGAGGAAGACCTTGAGTACCGTAGGTAGAGTTGATAAAGATAGACCCACATCTGTAGCTGCCAGCATAGACAGGAAGATGTACTGAGGCTCATGAAGAATGGAGGTGGTTTTGATAACAAAGAGGATGGTGCAGTTTCCTAGGAGGGCAACTAGGTACATGAAGCCCACTGGAATAGAGATCCATATTTGTACAAACTCCAGTCCAGGAATGCCTGTTAGAAGGAGAGTAGTTGGCTGAAACCAAGTCTTGTTTGTAAGCTCCATATCATGCCCAGAGCAGCTTTCAAATGTTCCTGTTGCAAGAAAAAAAAATCATAAATTTTAAGATAGGAAGAGATAATGCATCTGACTCCTGCAGTGCAATATTAATCCCAGATATGTTTACCTTATGGAATTAATCCTTAGAAAGTTTTCAAACGTATCTGAATGACTATTTGCAGTTAGGTCAATGAATAACTGCTATGAAAATATAAGAGCTAAGAGAATTCCTTTGATCTAGAACATTCAAACATTGATCAAGTGAAAATGAAACTTGAGAACATTATTTATTATCACAATTCTTAGGAAAAAAAAATCACTCTCTCATGTCTTTCCTTCTTGGTATTATTTAATTATATTTGTATCTACCCTTATTTTTAGTCATCTTGCAAAATCTCTTAAAGACATTGTAATACTTCTCCTCCATTAATATCATACCTGTGAACACTCAGGCATCTGGAAATATGTGTGGTTTTCCTGATATTTCTTCCTGTAAAAATAGACAAGAGGATATTTTAATAACTCACATAAACCCCAATTCACTTTAAAAAAAATTTTAAGTGATATGTTTCACTATAACAATGAATTTCTGGGTTCTCTGATATTTTTATTGTTTTTATGTTTTTAATTTGTTTTAATTAGTTATACATGACAATAGAATGCACATTGATACATAATATATAATTGAGAATAATTTCTCATTCTTCTGGTTGTACATGATATAAAATCCCACAGGTCTTATAGTTATATAGGTATATATAGGGTAATAATGTCTCATTCATTCTATAATCCTTCCTACACTCATACCTTCTCCCCTCCACCTAATGTAAAGTAACACTATTCTTACTCAGCCCTTTCGCCCAGTTGTGAATTAACATCCACATATCAGAAAAAACATCTGGCTTTTGTTTTTTGGGGGACTGGCTTATTTCAGTCAGCATGATATTCTCCAGCTCCATCTTCATCAATATATAACAATGATGAAATTATTAAAGTGGGCATTATAATTTCTCAGTTGATGCTAAAATAGTATCAAACAACAATAATTTCTTGAAAATATTTGAAATATATCTTTTCCAAAATACAAAGGCAATGTATTAGAGACCAACAAATACCAATATCTTAATAAATGTCTAAAGGTAGCATAATTGGAAGAAATGGTATTATTTTATGTTTTTATACCACAAAGAAGAGAGAAAAGATACTAGTTAAGTTTGGTTGAATACATTTAGATTTAAATACTTTAAAATTGCAATTTTCTATACAGAAACAGTACTGATGGAACTAGATTTTAATATGGAGAAAGGGGTAGGAAGGAAAGTACCTAAGCAATATAATCCCTTAACAAGAGGAGCATGAATCCGAACTCAATGCCTTTTGAAGAATTAATATCAATTAAAAATATGACAAAAAGTCCAGAAGTACCAGAACAAAAGTTAAACAGAAGTTAATGAACCTTTTTTTCCCCTCAGAAAAAGGGCTATAAGCACAAAGGATTCTGGCAAGAAACTAGTCCATTTTTTTTTCCCTCCCAGCCAAAATGCAAAATTCTGGACCATTTTAGAACTATGTAAATTAAAAAATATATTTTACATGTAAATATATCTTTGAAGAGCAAATGCCACTATTTACTATTTACTTATTTCCATTCACGGATGTGTAGACCTATGTTTGATCTGATCAATCTCTATGCAGATATTCTCAGCACTGCCTGCCTGCCATGCAATACTGCATGCTTTCATGCTATGACTATATTTTTAGCAACTTAGAATACTGAGGACAAATAAGCCTAATACAACTCTACCATCTGGACACACAGAGTATCAGAGTCACTTAGCTGACTGAGAAAAAAGTCATAATGCACAGTAGACTGCAGTGTCCATACACACTACAAATACTGCCCAACTTATCAAACTGTTTCTCAGCACATTAAGAGAAGAACTTTCCTATAAACATGAAATTCTCACCTACCAAATCACCACACCCATCTTGAACATGCACAGATACAGCAGCAGAATGCATTACAATTCTTATTACACATATAGAAATACAATTTTTCATATCTTTGTATGTAGAGTCTGTTCATGCCATTTCATGCCTTTGTACAAGTATTCTTATATACACATATAGTCAGTTCTCCTTTTGCTTATCTCCTCCAGAACACATTGAACCTCACTCACTATTTTTATACTCATTTTTCCCTCTGTTCTTTGCACTGATTCAGGCCCTGCTTACACAGCCAGCATCAAGCCCATTATCAACATCTTGCAAACACTAGCATAAAACTCAAGGATGCACTTGGTTCTTATCACTTCCTAGTTCATTTTTATACTTCCTATATCTACATCCCTGGCTCTCTTAACTCGGTATATCTTTTGTTTCTACCAATTTTATTTTTTAACCTAAATGGGTTGCCTATGACTTACTCATTTTCATACCAGAATTTTTGTGCATCAGTTCATCACATACTCAAATGTAATCAGGACTTATCTAAACATGACAGCTATTAAATCAAAAGATTAAAGATCAGTATATATTCAACATTCAATTGGTATAGTTCTATGATTATTTCATATCACAAGAATTCCTCCCCCCATTAAATTCTTACTGAAAGCACTACTTCATTCCTCTATTTGACACTTATTACATATTATCTTCTGCCTATTACCTAAATGAGTTTCCCTTAACCAATGGGACTTTAAATATCTTTGAAATTGTGATTGTAGACGTCAAAGATCAATTAGGATTTTCCAGATCTGCTTGGACATATGAGGCCCATAGTAGATATTGTTTCAACAAATAAATCAATAGTTTAGAGGGTGTTACTGCAGCATATTCTTCATAAATATAGTGAGACATAAAACTCACCAGTAATCAAAGATCCATTTTAAACTCTGATGTATAAAAAGATTTCAAGGCCATACTTTCTCTAGAACTGAACAACATATGTCACTAAACCTGAAAGTAGAAGAAGAGATGTTTATAATATGATAGAGAATGTTCTAGAATTTGTCAACTTACTCAATTGCAAGCTATCTTTGCCCAGATTTCCATTGACCTTTTGGGTAGGTTATCCATTCTAGTCAAAAAAATATTCCTCCCACTATACTCGGAGATCCAAAGACATTTAGCTAACTAGTACCTCCCACTTCTAACCTCCCCTAAACTACTTTTTAAATGTCTTTGTAAATTTGTATATTAATGTTATACTTAGTAATGGGGTTCATTTTGCCATATTAACAAATGTACAGAATATACTTTTTTCCACTTCAATCCCAGTACTTCAACTTTTCCTACTTCCTCTCCTGTTCCACTTTCAATCCTGTAATGATCTTCTTTATCTTTATTTATTTTTATTTTTTTTGAGAGAGAGAGAAAGAGAGAGAGAGAGAGAGAGAGAGAGAGAG